GTGCTGATGGGCACCCCGTCCTCCCAGGGTGGCTGTGCCAAAGCACCACGGACCGATGTAATTTTCTGTGGTAAAGGAAACACTCGTGTGCCCATGTGCAGCTGTGGGTGCTTCACACACAACCACCGTAGCTGATTTTTTTGTTGTTGTTTAATTTAGGTCAACCTAAATGTATAATTCAAAGCTGTAGGGAAGCCTTATAATCCCAGCCATTGGAGGCACAAGGTCAGCCTGAGCCACACAGTGAGACCTTGTCTCTATAAGTAATGCGTACTTCCCTAAACACGCAGTAAAATGAAGCTCTGTCACCTATGGGCTGCCCAGCTCCTAGAATCCAATGTCATTTGGTCTCCTTCCAGGATGTGTAGATACATGTATCCAGGGACTGGAGAGACGGCTCAGCAATTAAGAATGCTGGCTTCTCTTGCAGAGGACCCAAGTTTGATCCATAGCACCCACATTGAAGAGCTCGCAAATGCCCTTAACGCTTCTGGAGAACCAGTGCCCTCTTCCGGCTTCCACAGGCAACCACACTCACATGCCTATACTGCCAAGCATACACACATACACGTGGTTAAAAATAAAATAAATCTTAAATAAATACATACACTGTAGTCTGGCCTGAGGGCTGTCTCTTCTGCCCTGTCCCGTGTCCTGTTGACGCTTCTAAGATGCGCTTGTCCCTGGCCCTCAGGTCTGCCGCCGTCCTCCACATGGCTTCTTCCCCTCTTTGCACCGTGACTGCCCCGTGGTCGTCCTGCAGTGTCCTTCTGAGAGGTGTGATTGGCAGCCTTCACCGCACCTGCTGCCTGCTGAGTGTTCCTCCTCCAGGTGTCCCTTTTCCGCTGCACCCATCTTCTCGGGGACACTCGGTTGCCTGTCACCCTGCTGTGTGTCATGCTGCACCATTCACCTACCAGATATTTAGTAGGTGAGGTACTGTGGGCACTGCCAGAGGAAAGGCGACTGTCCTCTTAGAGCTGGTGCTGGGGAAGCAGTGCATGGGACTGCTGATCTGGGCACACACATCTGAATTTGGACCAGAAGGATTTGAAGTGCAGCTCAGTGAAGGGGAAGAGAGGCTGGGGAGTCACATTGTCCCTGGTGCCTGAACGAGAAGACATTTGGGAGAGAGTATTCAGTGAGGGCAGCAAGGGCCCAGTCAAGCAAGCACGCATAAATGTGGTAGGATTTCCATTTTCTTGCAAGTTTCCTGAAAGCTACTGGAAATTTTTGTTTGGTCGGTTGTTTCGCTGTTTTGTTTTGTTTCTTGTTTTTAAGGCAGGATCTCACCAAGCAGACCAGCCTGGCCTGGAACTTACAGATATCCACCTGCCTCTGCCTCCTGAATGCTGGGATTAAAGGTGAGACCACGGTGCCTGGCACTACTGGAGGCTTTAACTTCGGTATTTCCGACTCAGCATGCCCACCCTGAGTCCTGATACCCTGCAAACCTCCTCCTTCCTTCCTCTCCCCATCTCTGTTGACACCAGCTCTTTGACCCACACCAAACCCTGGAGTCACCTTAGTGCCCCCCCTTTCCCACACAGTGCTTCCTTCCTTGTTGGATGCAGGGGGCGTGGGTGATGCCACTCCTCCCTTCCACCAGCCTCTCTGCCCGGTTGTTCACTGTGGGCTCTAGGGTGCTCCTTGAAAGCCTGGTAGCTAAGTTTCTGTTGATCAAACAAATGAGTGTCTTTCCTTTCCATCATGACCTCTTCCCCCATGCAAATAGTCCCTTGAGGGTCAAGTTCTGTGGGGTGGGGACCTGAGGCTGTCCAAACCTGTGGTTCTGAGTTTGAGTTTCTTCTTGGTGTGACTCAGACCTTTGTACACTGATTTCTGTGAGTCTTGGCATCCTCCTCTGTCAAATGGGACGTGAGCGGCTGCCGGCCTCGGATGCAGGCCGGATGCAGCGCACCCAGGCAAGCTCCCGGTGCATAGCGTTAATGGCAGCTATATATAACCCAAGGCCTCCTTTGTACTCCCACCGCCTCTGTCCTACTTCTAGCCCTCATTACGCTGCCGGCCGGTCTCACAGCTCTTCCCTAACTCAGGCTTCATTGCCACCAATCTGTCCTCTCAGGTGTCAGGCTTGTCCTCCCCTTGCCAGCCCTAATCACATCCCTCCTCCGCTCCACAGCCTTCCGTGACTCCCAGTGTTGCCTCCAGCTAAGGCCTCACAGTGAGCACATTCGGGGCGGCCTGAAGCCTGAGTGTTTATGCCTGTGCCCTGGACTTGAGTTCCTCGGTGCTGTACCACAGAGGAACTTGAACTTGTGCAGTGTCCCTGGATCAGTTTCATACCCAACATCAGCCCTGGCCATGCCCAGCTCCCTTCACTAGACCACCAGGCTCTGGTCTTGCCCTGCCCATGCCCAGCTCTCTTCACTGGACCACCAGGCTCTGGTC